TATTTTGAGGAAAATACACAAGATAAACACACCTGTTTTGATCTCTGCGTGCAATTGAAAAGACTCCTCAAATCGCCTTCGATGAAATAAATTCAAGGCTGCTTGTCTTTTGATTTCGATTTTGTTATCCTCTGTGAAGAAGTTCGACATTTCCTAGAAACATCATATTTTTCGCATGATTGGAGTACACGATGAAGGCTCCTTGACATACCACAACTTGGATGGCCAACTCAAATTGTTTGTCGGATATGAGTGTAGAAACATTCTTGCGAATATTTGCATGGGCATCCAGCATCCACACATCAAATGGGCTGCTGACAAATACATAGCCTCTAAACAAAAAGTCATAAAGCTTTACCAGATCGAATTTTACTGAGTCCTACAAATTTGGAGCAAGATCCTAATAATGAAGTTCAACTAAAAGCGGCAAGACTCACGGGTTTCCAACACAGAGAAGAGATGCCCTACTCAATGCCATGCTCTGTATCAGATGAGGCGGACTCAACGACCGCACTTCCACTCGTCCTTTCGGTAATAATCCAACTACNCTGCTGACAAATACATAGCCCCTAAACAAAAAGTCATAAAGCTTTACCAGATCGAATTTTACTGAGTCCTACAAATTTGGAACAAGAGTCTAATAATGGAGTGCAATTAAAAGCGGCAAGACTCACGGGTTCCCAACACAAAGAAGAGATGCCCTACTCAATGCCATGCTCTGTATCAGATGAGGCGGACTCAACGACCGCACTTCCACTCGTCCTTTCGGTAATAATCCAACTACATACGGCGCATCGTACACTGTAAGTACTTGCCTGAGTTATTCCAAAATTGTAAACAGAAAGCGTTACAAAGTTGTTTAGTATGTGGTATTCATGAGTAGTCTTGATAGAACATACCTATATCGCAAGGCACGTCACTAAAGCGCACATCGGCTAACGGAGTCTTTTGTCCTTCAAAATTGGTGAAAATGAGGGTGTCGCCATACGAAAATCCAAGAAGATCGCGGTCCCCTATCAGGATTATTGATGGATTATCGCTAACATCGAAGAGACGTCGACAATCGCCAAACCAAGACTGAAAGCGCATAATCCTGGTGACGAAAAAGAAAAAGCAATTAAGCTTTTTTAAAGAACATGGAAAATTATGCACGGAAATAAAAAATGAATAAATAAAAAAATTAATAATTAATTAAATTATATGACTACCTCTCCATCCTCGTTGGTAGTTCTTGTAAGTTTCATGAGAATATATTCTCGACCGCAGCTCATGAACAGGG